TCATAACTTTATTGTACCAAACAACATAATTATTAAATATAACATTATAAATGATTAAGCCTCATATTTCGTTTTTATATATGATTTTTTTTTTGAAACCATATATGAAATTTAATAGCATTAATAATTTTTAATAACATTACATAATTATAATATTTTAAATCTTTAGTGCCTTCAACTTTAGAATGAATTTTGATAATTAATGTTCGTTTTTTTTTTAAATATTATTAACAATAAAATTACTTAAATTTTATATCGTGCACCGCATTCTAATTTCTTTTATTATTATTATTATTATTATTATTATTATTATTATTATTATTATTATTATTATTATTATTATTATTATTATTATTATTATTATTATTATTATTATTATTATTATTATTATTATTATTATTATTATTATTATTAGGTAAAATCTTGAAATATTAACAGGCCATATTTAATGACCGTGCATCGCACGGGAGACTTACTAGTTTAGTATATATAAATGATGATTTTTTTAAAAAAAAAAAAAAGAGAAGAAAAGAAAAAAAGACTTGTCTAACAATATGATTTATGAATTATATGTTTATAACAGTATGGTTTAAACTAGTCTAACTGTATGGTTAATTGCACTTTCAAATCTAATTAACCATTAACTAAAATTTTTAAAAATTCCATTAATCGAATCAAAATATTTCGATTAAAAAATGACTAATTAAAAATTTTCAGTTTCATCGGTTAGTCGGGTTTTTTCACTAAATTGTGTACACTCCTAATTGAGGTTCAGAAATCTTGCTTATAAATTTCATTCTCATTCCTAATTAACTTTTGGGCCTCAATTCCCCGGACTCAATTGGCTTTAGACCTGGAGTCCCTTCCGCCAACAGGTTTGGCAAATTAGACAGTCCACATAGCTTTGTAGACGACAGTCCAAAACGACGTCGTTTTGACAATTAAAAAGTTATGTTAGTCAATAACAACGTTTATTCAGCCGTTATGTGTTAGAATAATGAACCTCCTAGTTAGATGATGCATTTATGAGTTAGAATAATGTACTTTATGAGTTATAAAAATGTATGTTGCAGCATTGGAGTTAAAGGAAGAAGTAATGGAGAGGAAAATGTAGGTCGCTGAAAATTAAAAAAAAAAAAATAATTTGTGACCCACGTCTCTAACTTAATGGCTAACTTTGGATGCGCCTTATTAATTTTATCCACACAACCCCAGCATCAGATAAAATCAGATTCACGCACCACCTTCCACAGCAGATCAGATCGCAACTCTCCATCCTCCACCGCACGCCGTCCATCGCCGTCGTCAGGCCTGTTTAGTCCATCGCCGAACGCTTCCCCGCCACTGTCGGCCAAGCTCCTCGCTGCTGCCGCCTAAGGTCGCCGCTGCTGCCGCCCAAGATCGCCGCCGCTGTTGCCCAAGGTCGCCACAGCTGACGCCCAAGCTCGCCGCCGCTGCCGCAGCCACGCACGCCGACCGCCACCACAGCTACACACGCCGTCGGGGAGTAGTGGTACGTAATTTATAATTTTTTAAGTTTTGTTATTTTTTTCGAAAATATGTATTTATTTTAATTATTTTATTTATTTTTTTATTATTTGTTATTGTTGTTTATTTATTTTAAAATTTGTTGTGTGTTATGTTAGGCATTGTTGTGATTTATAGTTTAATAGAAAAAATTGTGTATTCTCATAGTAGCACTATAAGATTGTTTTTGAGAGCATGATGGATGGATAGATGCTTTATGAAATCTTGTATATTTGACCAACCATTATCTTTATCTTATCTTTGTTTCTTCATTGAAAAATTAATTATAATTTTTTTAATGAGATCTGTGTGGTATTGTATATGTATATAAAAATGTGTATGTGTATTATGTATTATTATTAGTTTAAATTAATTAATGTAGGTAATATTTTAAATTTAAAATTATTTAGTTAAAGCTTTAATTTGAACCTTTGTGTTGTAACTTAAGAAACTAACTCATTTATCATATCTTAAATGTTGTGTGAAAATATATAGGAGATATGGATCGGAGTTGGATGTATAAAAAACGCAATACACTTGAATATGTTCATGGGGTTCAAGAGTTTATTAAAATTGTCGAGGAATATGCAAGTAAAATTGGTGAAAATTATGTACTTTGCGCTTGTTATGATTGTAGAAATCTAAAAAAGTTTCGTTGTTCTGAACAAATTAAGGAGCATTTGATACGTCGTGGTTTTAAGCTAGGATATGACCGGTGGATATGGCATGGTGAAACTGTCCCTACTAGTAACCGTACAAATCAACGAGAATGTAGAAAAAATGTAGAGAAAGATCAAAGTAATGAAGATAATGTTGGAAATGATGGAGACAATGATCGGCTAGATGAATTGATGCGTGATATGCAAGGGGATTTGGATGAAATGCCAAGAGTTTGAAAGTTTTTTTTAGAGTTCTGGAAAACCTTTGTTTTCTGGATGTAGTAAATTTACAAAGTTATCAGCAGTGCTTAAATTGTATACCGTAAAAGAAAAAAAATAGGTGGAGTGATAAGAGTTTCACGGAGTTATTAGAGCTTTTAAAGGGCATGCTTGCTAATGAGAATGAACTTCCTTGTTCAACTTATGAGGCAAAGAAAATGTTATGCCCGTTGAGTATGGAGATTGAAAGGATCCATGCATGTCCAAACGACTGTATTTTGCATGGAATCAATACAAAGACTTGAATGTGTCTCTGAAGTGTAGAGCATCGCGTTATAAACAAAAAGAGCTCAATGATGCATGTGAGCAGAAGAAAGGTCCTCTAGCGAAGTTGTTGTAGTATCTACCGGTGATTCCAAGATTCAAACATTTGTTTGCAAATGCAAAGGATGCGAAGAATTCGCAATGGCATGCTAGTGGGAGAAAAGAAGATGGAAAGTTGAGACATCCTGCTGATTCTCCTCAGTGGAAGAACACTAATAAGAAGTTTTCTGATTTCGGTGCTGAAAATCGAAATCTTAGGCTTGGACTATGCATAGATGTGATGCTATCACATTTGTGCATGTTTTTATAGCTATTTTGATTCATCTCAGTAACAAAGTTACTTAATCATGCAAATTTAATACTTGTTTTCCTTGCTTTCTCATTAGATTATGGTTTTACACTTGTTTTGAACGTCTTACGGTGTCTGGTAGTGTTTTTTCACCAGTACAGGTTAAGTGTAAAAGCAAGGGGAGATTTTCAAGCACGAATGGATCAAAAAGAGGAAGAAGTCGAAGTACCAAAGCCTCGACGCGTCGAGCCAGCTTCTCGACGCGTCGAGAATTTCCAGTAGCTACAAGAGCCGCCCAGATTAAAGGCTCGACGCGTCGAGATCGTGGAAAGCTGAATTTTTTGAACCTTCCTAAATTAATCCCATCGAGTTGCTACTATAAAAGGATCATCCTCCATCAACCCTAGAATTATTCTTTCCCCCAGATTTTGGCATTTGGAAGGCAATCAAGAGTAAGAAAAAAGAGGACCGATTTGAAGATTTACAATTAGCTTTGGAGTAGAGAACTGGCTAGGAAGATTCGGGAGAATTCTTTCACTCTTTCTCTTATTCCTTTTGTTATTTGTTTATCTTTAAAGATTGTATTGATTGTTATTATGGCCATGAGTGGCTAAAACCCTTAGGGATTTTTGGGTGAATTTTTTTATGAACCTATGTGCCTAGTTCGTTAATTTCTTAGTATATTTATGTTTGGTTTTATGATTTGTGTTGCAATCTTGTTTTAACCTGTTGTTGTGGGTAATTAAAGGCCTAAATTACTTGCTTCATAGCCATGTTTGTGTCACCAATGAGAGTTGGGGCATAATTTAGGGCACACACGATTGCACCTAATGGTTGGACCTTGAGAAAGGGGAATTTATTAGGGGAATTTTATTCTAGATGGTTGCGCATCGAGAGATGGTAGTAATTAGGAATAATTGAATGCTGATCTTTGATCTTATCGGGTGTTTAAGCCACGAGAGTGGAAATTCACTAGGGGTAGAGATTACGAGAGTAATTCTGTTCCACTTTACATTCTCACACAAGTCTTAATTCCAAACTAAATATTACAAACGTTAATTGGCACTAGGTGATTAAACATTGTGATCCCAAGAATCCTGCTTTTCTCTGTTGCTTACAAAACCTTGCTAGTTTATTTATTCTGCCTTTTATTTTCTACAATTATCCAACCTTCATGTTTTGTTCAGATTAGTTCCATTTGAGTAACCTAGTAGCTAGTGTTTAGTACCCCATCTCCCTGTGGTTCGATAACCCGAATACTTCGAGTATTATTTGTTTGCCCCAAATTACCGCAATCAAATTAGCGCTGTTTCAGGGGAGGTGGAGTTACGTACTGACATTAGCGAAAGTCTTACTTTAGGAGTCTAGTCTATTTTATTTTTACTTTATTTTTATTTTCACTATAACGAGTTTCTTGTGTTGTGCTGTGTTTCTGTAATCAGCGGTCTTGGTGTTTTATGCGAACTTGTTCTTCGGGGAACAAAGGATTAGAACCTTTTAACCCAGAGATTGAAAAGCATGCCAAGTTCTTAAGAAAACAGGTTAGGATGGCGCAGGATGGGAATCAAAACAATCTCGCTCTCAATGAAGTGGGAGTCAATCAACCACTACGAGTTGGGAGGCCCATGGGAAACTACATTGCTCTAGACGTAGGGGATTATGGAAGTATCAATGTGCCAGGGGCTGAAACTAATAATTTCGAAATCAAACCGATTATTATTCAGATGGCTACTACAGACCCTTTTGGTGGGTCACCAACAGAAGACCCTAATGCTCACATTGCAAAATTTCTGAGGATTTGCAGTACCTTCAAAATTAATGGAGCCTCGAGTAATGCTATCAAGCTTCGCCTTTTTCCATTCACTGTAAGGGGTAAAGCTGACAGCTGGCTTGCCTCTTATCCGGTGAACTATTTTGAAACTTGGGATCAGTTGCACAGAGAGTTTCTTAAGAGGTTTTATCCCATATCCAAGACTTAGAAAATGAGGAGATCGATTCAGAATTTCAGACAGCTGGGTGGTGAGTCTTTGGCCGAATCATGGGAGAGATTCAAAGAGATGAAGAGACAATGCCCACATCATGGTATTCTGAGTTGGGACTTAATGCTGGCTTTATATGAAGGATTGTTGGATAATTCAAAAATCCTAGTTGATGCTTCATCGGGGGGATCATTCACAGTCCTAGAGATAGATCAAGCCGAAGAACTATTAGAAAGGGTTGCAATGAATGGAACAACTTGGTACTTAGAGAGATCTTCCCCGAAATTGGTGGGAGGTGTGAATGATGTTGATCAAATATCAGCTCTATCAGCTAAGTTTGATAATGTGGCCACTTTAATTCAACAGTTGGCTCAGATTTCTATCAAGAATCAAACTCCAGGTAATGTTTCTACATCTTCTACTCCTCTAAGACCTATAACGATGTGTGAATTTTGGGGAGGAGAGAACAATTCAGAGGAGTGTTTCAGTGTTGATTCTCATGCCACAATGGAACAAGTTGATGTGATAGGGTATGGTAGGATACAACCAGTATTCCAACAACAAGGAACATACGATCCAAATGCACCAAGGAACCATCCTGGTTTCTCTTGGAGTAATCCAGCTGGGGCAGCTAATCCTCAACCCTTGAATAATAGAATTCAACCACCAGGATTTCAGGGACAACAAAATTTTAGAGGGGGTCCTCCGAAACAGTTCAGGCAAAACCAAGGATATCAAGCTCCAGTAAATCAATCTAAGCCTAATGTGGAAGTACCGGCCCCGTTGAATATGGACGTATTGTTGGAAAAATTGGTTAAAGGTCAGCTAGAGCTTACAGAGAGGATGGATCAGATGAGTGCTCACCAAAAGATGTTAGAAAATCAGTTAGCAAATCAAGCTTCTACACGGAGTATTAAAGTCACAGGGAAGTTGCCAGCTAGAACTGAAAATCCAAGGGAGCATGTAAATGCAATTGTTACAAGGAGTGGCACGGTACTTGAAGAGCCACCCCTTCTAATCAAAGCAACAATTCCTGAAAAGACAGTTGAGGAGAAGATTGAAGCGATACTTGATGGTATAGAAGATGAGCCAATTGTTGTGCAAAATAGTCCACAAGTTCAAAAGGAAGTAGAGAAGCCCGTTAGAAGGTATGTACCACTATTGCCTTTTCCTCAAAATTTTGAAACAACAAAAGAAAGTAGGTGGAAAAAGTTTTTGGAGATTGTTGAGAGTTTGAAAGTTTCAGTTCCCTTAATTGATTTGCTTTCACAAGTTCCCTCTTATGGAAAATTTTTGAGAGAAATTCTAGCTAAAAAAAGAAAAATATGGGGAACGAGAGATGGTTGCTGTGGCACAAGAGTATTGAACGTTGACCCCAGGTATTGGGAGGAGTATACCTAAGCATAGAGATCCGGGGAAGTTCACAATTCCTTGCGTTATTGGAGGCCGACCTTTAAAGGGGTCCCTTTGTGATTTAGGAGCCAGTGTGAGTGTTATGCCTCTTACTCTTTGTCAAAGGTTAGGGTTGGGAGCACCAAAACCAATCCAATTCACTTTGGAAATGGCGGATCAATCCATCACAAAGCCTATTGGAATTCCTGAAGATGTCCTAGTTCGTGTGAATAAGTATTTTGTGCCTTTTGACTTTATTGTGATGGATGTCCCAATGAATCTAGACATCCCACTCATTTTGGGGAGACCTTTCCTGGCCACTACTGGAGCAATAATTGATGCAAGGAAATGCTCCATGATTTTTGACTTTGGGGAGGAAAAGGTGGAATTTAATGTTCTTGATGAGCCAAAAGTCATCGATTGCAAGTCAATTTTGCACCTTGACCCTACTTTCAAGGCGACACATGATGAGTATATACATTTGAAGAGTTTATGGGGTGATGAGATCAAACTCGCGGATCAACCGGGATGAGCACTCCATAACCAAGTTAGGTCGAGCTAGCGACATTAAACTTAGCGCTTCATGGGAGGCACCCCATGTTATCCTTTAATTTCTTGCATTTTTAATCTTGCTTATTATTTCATTTTGGTTTTTTTTTTTTCTAAATTTGAGTGGTTTTTGGTTTCAATGTTAATCGGCAATGTAGGAGTTGTTTTTAGCTAAATACTAAGGCTAAAACTCGACGTGGGCGAAAAATTCCACACTGTCGAGACCAGGCCAAATCAAGGGAAAAGGCTACTGGATTTTTTTGACAGGTTGAACCCTTGGTTCGACGCGTCGAGCTCGAGACGCCTCGAAAAAACTCCATTTTGGAATTTTTCGATGCGTCGAGACGTCGGATCCCAGATATTAAAAATCGCAAGAGGCCTTTTCTTCTCGCAATTTTCCAACACTCTCTCTCGCAACTCTCTCGCCCTAGACACCCAAGATCCTATGGCAATACTTCCATTCCTTTTTCCTTCACTTAAATTGTTACATTGGGGACAATGTAATTCTCTGTGTGAGGGTGGGGGGGGGGGGGGGGGGGGGGGGGAGGATTGAAGTGTTTCCCTTCTTTTCCTTTGTTGTCACATTTTATTTTTATTTAGTATTGTCTTCGTATTTTATGTTTAATATTTTAGATTAGTTATTTGCATTTTCACCCAAAAAAAATTTGTCATTCTTGTTTTTATTGTAAAACTTGTGCGATTTGTGTTGCTTGTTCTCTCCACTTTAATACTTGCTTGAATGACTCGTGTGCTTTATTTCTAATAACTGATTGTCTTGACGCTTAATTGCACTCGCTCTCTCGTGTTGTCTAGTGGTTTGTTTTGGAAGAACTTGCTGCATTTCATTATGCCATGGATGAAATCAAAGTGTAACACATTAGTAATCTATTTCCCTTGTTAATATCCTTGCCACCCACTCATAACCGAACTAATTTCTTAATCTAGTGGTTAGTGTGTGTGCTAGTGAATGTTTATGTGGAATTCCGGCATTGGTTGGCCTACTAGAGCTTGTGCCATTACTCCTCAGGTTTAGGCTAATTTTTGCATGTATTGAAATGATTTAGGACATTCTTTGTAACCCCCAGCCTTTAAACCTGTCCCTACATATGTTTTACCCCTTGTGTCCCCCTTGTGCCTTTTATTTTTTTTTTAAAAAATAAGTGCTAAGCACTTATTCCCTCTTTGTGATTATTTTTTCTTTGATTTACCACCATTATTATAACCTTTAGCCCTTGGCCAAATATTATCCTTCCACCCTAGAGAGAATGTAGCTTTTGTCTTTAAAAATCTTATAGAAGAGATTCCTTCGGAGCTTACTTAAAAGCAAATTTGTTCCAAAAAAAGTTGAAGTTTGGGGTTATTACTTGTTTGTATAAACCAGCTCATATCTTATTTAGTTTGTAATGTCGATTCTTTGTTTCGCAAAAAAAGGAGAAAAATCCAAAAAAAAAAATAAAAAATGATTCAAAAAAAAGGGGTGGGGTGGGGGGGGGGGGGTGGGGGGGGGTTTGTCTTTCTATATTCCAAATAAACTCAAATCAAATTTTGATTGAAGAAATTCTTTACATAGACCCCCATATACCCCATATCCTTCAGAGTTGTTATAGTCTTGATGAGTTGCTTTTTGCTCCCTTATTCGCCATTGGTTTATCTCTTCTAAAGATTCAAAACTATAGATGATTGTGTCATTCTCTCTCTTTGTTATTATTCCATACCTTTTTTTTGTTATAAACCGTGACCCTTAGCCCCATTACAAGCTTAATAAAGACCTACTTGATCTTTGCATGAAATTTTAGTTATATACAGGAGGAGTAGGAAGGGCAAGCCTAGGATGTTTTTCTGGTGTTGTGTTCTGCATAAACCTAACTGAGTACATGTGCACACTAGATTTCTCATTACTAATAATCTGGGTGCTTGTATATTGGCTTGGGAATGGACTACGTGTGCCAAGCAGAGATGATTCTGGAAGCATGTGTCTTGCAGTGAGTTGGCTTGTGGCATGCTAAGTTGTGCACAAGAAAGTGGGAGTGATTTTTAGTGTTTTGACCTGTGGTTTTGCTTAGTTGTTTTGCTTGAGGACAAGCAAAGTCTTAAGTGTGAGGGGGTGATGTTATCACATTTGTGCATCTTTTTATAGCTATTTTGATTCATCTCAGTAACAAAGTTATTTAATCGTGCCTATTTAATACTTGTTTTCCTTGCTTTCTCGTTAGATTATGGTTTTACACTTGTTTTGAACGTCTTACGATGTTTGGTAGTGTTTTTTCACCATTACTGGTTAAGTGTAAAAGCAAGGGGAGAATTTCAAGCACGAATGGATCAAAAAGAGGAAGAAGTCGAAGTACCAAAGCCTCGACGCGTCGAGCCAGCTTCTCGACACGTCAAGAATTTCCAGTAGCTAAAATAGCCGCCCAGATTAGAGGCTCGACGCGTCGAGATCGCGGAAAGCTGAATTTTTGGAACCTTCCTAAATTAATCCCATCGGGTTGCTACTATAAAAGGATCATCCTCTATCAACCCTAGAATTATTCTTTCCCCCAGACTTTGGTATTTGGAAGGCAATCAAGAGCAAGAAAAAAGTGGACCGATTTGAAGATTTACAATTGGCTTTGGAGTAGAGAACTGGCTAGGAAGATTTGGGAGAATTCTATCACTCTTTCTCTTATTCCTTTCGTTATTTGTATATCTTTAAAGATTGTATTGATTGTTATTATGGCCATGAGTGGCTAAAACCCTTAGTGATTTTTGGGTGAATTTGTTTATGAACCTATATGCCTAGTTCGTTAATTTCTTAATATATTTATGTTTGGTTTTATGATGTGTTGCAATCTTGTTTTAACCTGTTGTTGTGGGTAGTTAAAGGCCTAAGTTACTTGCTTCATAGCCATGTTTGTGTCACCAACGAGAGTTGGGGCATAATTTAGGGCACACACGATTGAACCTAATGGTTGGACCTTGAGAAAGGGGAATTTTATTCTGGATTGTTGCGCATAGAGATATGGTAGTAATTAGGAATAAATGAATGCTGATCTTCGATCTTATCGGGTGCTTAAGCCACGAGAGTGGAAATTCAATATGGGTAGAGATTACGAGAGTAATTATGTTTCACTTTGCATTCTCACACAAGTCTTAATTCCAAAATAAATATTACAAACGTTAATTGGCACTAGGTGATTAAACATTGTGATCCCAAGAATCCTGCTTTGCTCTATTGCTTACAAAACCTTGCAAGTTTATTTTTGTGCCTTTTATTTTCTACAGTTATCCAACCTTCAAGTTTTGTTCAGATTAGTTCCATATGAGTAACCGAGTAGCTAGTGCTTAGTACTCCATCTCCCTGTGGTTTGATAACCCGAATACTCTGGGTATTATTTATTTGCCCAAATTACCGCAATCAAATTGGCGTCGTTGCCGCTATTGGTTTCTCCTTTCGAAGATGGTGGACCTGCAACATAGATAGACTTCCTCGGGACGGTAGGGGTCGTTTCGAGTCTTTGAATCATACGTCGAACAATTGACTCAGCCTCTGGCCGTCGCATTCCTAAGCTCCTTGCACGGCTCCTCGTTAATGGTGCTTCGGTCTCTCGGCTAGATTCAAACCAGCTATTGATGAAGACTTGGAACTAGCAGCTTAGGCATAAGACTTCTTGAACATCGAGCTTCTTGACGCCATTCTGATTGCTAGTAGAGTTGCTTACTGAAGTAGATCAATGGTGAAGAGATGAGAGGCAGAGCTGTCCAACTAGGCGTGCCAAAATCTGTAAACACAAAAAATATTGAAATTGTATATATTCACAAAATCTGTTTACAGTGTGTGTAGTTCAAGATGTGGGTACAAAGTCTCTGTGTAGTCCTCTGATTCTTCACTAACGTTATCTACTGAAGTGCCTCCGGGATTCAAATAGCGTAGCCTCCGGGGTTCAAGTGGCGCGTGCCTCTGGGATTCAAAGTGGCGTGATCTTCAACAGCAAGCAAACGCCAAGCTTCAAGCCAATCAACTCTGCAAAGCTTCAAAGTACATGCAATGGCTTCAAGCGGCTTCAAATCTTCAAATGCCTTAAAGGAGCTCTCAATACTTCAAGTCTTCAAGTTGTTCTCAATGTATTTAAGGTGTGATCTAAAGAATAAAATTGAGGCTCTATTTATAGTGAAGTCTGTAACTAAAATCCCTCAACAAACTTCACTAATAGTTATTAAATTAAATTAATTAATTATCCACTAAAATGAACCTTTGCCAAAATCAAGTCAAGGTTCATTATTCTATCTATCATCGAATTCAAATTCAAATTAAATTATAATTATCTAATTCATATATAATAAAATCATATTACATTTAAGGGTGTGTTTGGAAACCCGGAAAATGACTTCTGGAAGTCATTTTCCGAGTTTTTGGTGTTTGGCTAGGCAAAGAAAAGGAAAGTCAAAGGAAAATGGCATGCAGTCAATGGAAAATAACTCATCTTTTCCGGAAAATGACTTCCCCTTTTTTTTGGGGGAAGTCATTTTCCACTCTTCC